TTTATCTTTACTACTTGCTGATATGCCTGGCATTGCTCGGAGTGAAACATTTCTTTTAATATTAAAAACTTAATTTTTCAATTAACCTTCACTAAAATCTTTCTTGTCCTTCACTATTTGTATCAAAATTTGAAGTTCTTATACTCGTAATATAACAAAGGTTTCAGTTATTTCGCGTCAAATCAGTTGTTGATGGCTACGTGGTGGAAATAACACATGCGAGAAAGTAAAAATATATTTAATAATAACACAGCCTGGTAATGACTACAGGCATGTAGATAAACTCCTATGTAAAATATCATAATACGCAAAATCCTTTGTAGCTTTATTTTTAATTAAAATGAGAATATCAGTTGCACCAAAATCTTTTTTTAAAATCTTGTAGCTTCTCGAAAAAATACAAACTACATGAAACGCATTTCAAAACCCCCAAAAGCTTAACTTACTATATAGCTTTTGATTGATAACTTTTAAAGAATTGCACAAAATTTGACGAAGCATTGAAAGGGACAATTCTGAGGCAAATAAATAAAATAAAAATATCCCTAATCCTTATATTTTCTTTCAATAGGAATGACAACACCGAAGATAAAATAAACTTTTCTAGATATGTAAACACAGCTTTCCATTTATAAAAAAATTAACTATTTAATTACAAACTATTTTAGACTTCAGAGTATTTGTGAGCAAAATTTCAAGAAAATCTGTTAAGAAGTTTGGATTTTTATGATGTACAAACGACTTATACGCTTCACTTTTTTTATGCAGACTTTCTTGATGGGAGTCAAAAATCTAATAATCAATATTAAAAAAGCGTTTAAATCGCAATAGAAATAAATGTAAATCACTAGAAGAGTAATTTAGATTTCTATAGCGTATAAACGATTTAACCGTTTCACTTTTATTTATACAGACTTTCTAATGGGAGTCAAAAATCAAAACACAAGTATTCAAGAAAAGCATTTAAATCGCAGTAGAAATTAATGTTATTCACTAGAAGAGAAGTTTGGATTTCTATAGCGTACAAAAGATTTATGCGCTTCACTTTTATTTATGCAGACTTTCTGACTACAGTCAAAAATCAAAGCAACAGCATTTAAGAAAAGCACTTAAACCGCAATAGAAATAAAAATTGATAACTATAATAAGTACTGGTGAACGAAGATGCAGTTCAAGACAGCCGCTATCAGTTAGGGTAACAGATCAACATTCAATTCTTAAGTAGCAAATTTTTCATAATATTTGTGATATTTGTAAATAGAAATAACTTTTACTCACTAGAACAATTTCTGGAAAACGAAGAGTTAGTTCGGTTAAAGAGAGCCGCTATCAGTTAGGGTAACAGATCAACATTCAATTCTTAAGTAGCAAATTTTTCACAATATTTGTGATATTTGTAAATAGAAATAACTTTTACTCACTAGAACAATTTCTGGTAAACGAAGAGTTAGTTCGGTTCAAGAGAGCCGCTATCAGTTAGGGTAAAAGATCAGCATTCAATTATAAAATAGAAAAAAAAATTCATAATTTTTGTGATATTTGCAAATAGAAATAAATATTACTCACTGGTAAACGAAGATGCAGTTCAAGAGAGCCGCTATCAGTTAGGGTAAAAGATCAGCATGCAATTCCTCAATAGCAATATTTTTCAAAACATTTGTACTATTCATATGCAGAAAAAATGCTTGTTTCCTGAATGTTCGATGAAAAATTATGACATATCTCAATAATCTACTTAACGATTCCCTGAAAATTTCTACAAATAAACTGAATCGTGTTGGTGATATACAGACGCCCTTTTCTTTTGTTATCGTACTTCGATCACAAATTAAAACTGGAGATAAAAGTGATAATGCAAACAATACAACCGCAAGCCTTGATACCAATACAAATGTCAATACATTGATAGGAAACATTAACATAAAAACGTGTTTGTATGTATTTATTGTCTGATTTTTTATCCGTATAAAGATAAAAGAATTTGATCAGAAAAAGGTTATTAGAGATTATTTCCCCATCTGATTAAAGTTCGGAATGTCGGAAACTTGGTGAAATGAACAAATGGGAATAGAAAAGCGAAATTACACTGCTCTTCAAAAAAAATTTTTTTTCGAGCCCCGACACCATTCCTGCACATTCTTATGTAAAATGATCCACTGAATACGAATATGATCCCCTTTTTCCCCCATCCCCCCCCGTTTTCGCGGGGCGCCCCCCCCCCCATTTTTATCACTTTCCGGTAATTTTATGGCCATGAATTTGATTTGGAGGGGGAAAACAACTATTTTAACCGTTAAATATCTTCTGAGGGGCTACAGGGGTAAAAAGTTCTAAAATGTGAACATTTGTAGCAGGGGGGGGGGGATTTGGGAGGGATTTGTCCCCTTAAATTTAAAAAAAATCAATAAAAATTTCCGGTTTTTCTGGTTTATTTTTGCAATTTTTCCATTTATTTTCTACATATTCCAGCTTCCAGCACCCCTTTTCCTCACCCAAACACCCCACATAATAAAAATATATTGCAACAATTTTGGCTGAAAAGGGGTAAGGGGGAAAGGTCCCGAAGCCCTCACAAGAAAGTTTGGAAGATTCACTGTACAATGTTGCCGCTCTTTATTTTTATCACTGTTATGTAATTTTATGGCCATGAATTTGATTTGGAGAGGGGAAAGGATTATTTTAACACAAAAAAATTTAAAAATAAAAATATAATATATAATAAATAATAATAATAATAGATAATATAATATAAAATATAATAAATGCAATTTATAATATAGCACGTTGAATCTTTAAAAAGTTGTCTAATATGGGGGCCCACGAAAATTCCTTCCTTGATTTTAGACTCACTAAGACGAGGAAATTTAGTTTTAAAAAAGTTAAATCCATCGCCTGTCTTATCCATTGCTTTCACAAACTGTTTGCTTAATCCGAGTTTGATGTGCAAAAGCGACAACGTTGTACAGTGAAACTTCCAAACTTTATTTTTATGCATTAATTTTATTTATTATATATTTTTATTTTTAAATTTAAGTGTTAAAATAATTCTTTCCCCCCTCCAAATCAAATTCATAGCCGTAAAATTACATAACAGTGATAAAAAATAAAGAGCGGCAACGTTGTACAGTGAATCTTCCAAACTTTCTTGTGAGGGCTTCGGGACCTCTCCCCCTTACCCGTTTTTAGCCAAAATTGTTGCTATATATTTTTATTATATGGAGTGTTTGGGTGAGGAAAAGGGGGGGGGGCTGGAATATGTAGAAAATAAATGAAAAAATTGCGAAAATAAACCAGAAAAACCGGTAATTTTTATTGATTTTTTTTAAATTTAAGGGGGAAAAATCCCTCCCAAATCCCTCCCTTGTTACAAATGTTCATATCTTAGAACTTTTCCCCTCTGTAGCCCCTCAGAAGACATTTAACGGTTAAAATAATCGTTTTCCGCCTCCAAATCAAATTAATGGCCATAAAATTACCGGACAGTGATAAAAATAGGGGGGGGGGGGCGTGCGGAGGAGACGGGTGAAGGGGCAAAATGGGGGTCATATTCGGATTCAGGGGGTCATTTTATATAAGAATTTGAAGGAATGGTGTCGGGGCCGATTTTCATGCAGCGCAGTGTTATCATTTCTTTCCGGAAGAGCATGTTGCTTTTGGTATCTAGAGTGAAAATATTTAATCTTTTCCTTACAGGCGGTGCATATGTTGAATTAGTAGAATGTTGTAAAAAATATCTACATAAGTATTGTTATCCTCAAAACATTCGACAGCGAGATTGTTATGTAAGTAGATAGATGCGTGGTTTGTTTCAAATAAGTGCACAGGATTTCTCCTTTTCTTCTTTATTTTGACAATCATAAAAAACACACAATGAGAGAACAGAACATAGAGCAGTAAATAGGGATACCGGTTATTGCGAAAAAAAAAAAAAAACCCCGGTTTTCGGTTGTTCAAGGTTTCTTCACCGCCGGTTTAACCCGCGGTTTTAACCGCTCAAAAAAACCGGTTTTCGGTTTTTCTTTATAAACAAACGTCGTTTATAGACATTTTTTTAATATTGTTTTTACAGGAAATCAATCCATTGGCCAATATTCATCTGTTTATAAGGACTCTTTTAGCAATCCGCCAAACAACAGAAGCGTCGAGGAAGCGGTTGTCGTTGATTGGCCTAAGATGATGAAATTCAAAGCTTCATAACTTGGTAAATTTTAGTCTAACAGAACCTAAAATCGAGCCTATCTTCCTATCCGGTTTTTTCTCCGGTTATTGGATTTTTTTAAAAATAGACGGTTATAACCGAGACAAAAAAATAAACCAAATAACCGGTTTTCGGATAAAACCTGTAGGTTTTCCCATCCCTAACACAAAATATATAATACATCAATATTTCGCCACTAACTAAGAGTGTGCCGGGACATATAACTATAAGTCACGTCGAAGTACAGCTACTTAAAGGTACTCTCGCACCCCATATATTTCACAAGTAATGGTAGCTCAATCTATAAGCAGAATTCATGAACATAATTAGCTTAAGAATTTTAATATACAAAAAATAAGATTAAACATAGCAGATAAACATGAACAGAGATTTTGATGAATCTCCACAATAATAATCTTTTGTCATTGAACAATGTAAGTAAAATTATAAAGGCACAAAGAAGGAATGTGGAAAGTAGTTTTACACCAAAGTATTAATTGATACTTTAGACGAAATTTCTCAAAGGCGTCAATCTATCTCTCGGTCAGTTAACATACCTTTGCTCATGGGGGGATAGAACCCACGAGCTTAGCATTACGATCTAAACAATCAGCTAATGGGCCTCGATGTGGCCGCTGGAATTTTCGTGGAAGTTCTTGCGGTAAAATACACATAACAAAGAGAGATCGTCTTTTTCCTATTTAGCATGAATCTCTACTGAGCGGCGTGGTACGGTCGATGAAGCCACTTTCAAGCGGTTTGACATAATTATATTTAATTATACAGAAATTATAAATGACCTTTGCCCATGGGGAAATCGAACCCACGACCTGCGCGTTATTAGCACGCGCTCTGACCAACTGAGCTAATGGGCCTCGATGCGGCTGCTGGAAATTTTGTGCAACTTCTTGCGGTAAAATATAGTAGAACCTCGAATATCCGAAACTCTTTAAACCGGGACCTCATTTAACCAAAGTCGGTTTCCTTAAGTTTTTTTGGTGAATAAACAATATCACTTCAAGGTCACCTTCGGCTGCAACTATTCCTACTACAGGCAGTGACGACGTATTATCTCTTTCTCTCCCCCATCCCCCTCCTGTCGGAAATTCCATTCTATATCCGGATTCATCCCCTTTGCAGGAAATTCCATTCGTCTCCAAGACCATCTGCCTTTCTATTGGCTACTTTCTGTTCGACTCAGAAGCGTTGGCTTTACCGAAATGTAGAACATTCATTTATGCCATGGAGCCCACTGAACGAAAACGCGTTTTGTTAGCAGTTTAACAGAAGTTCCAAATTGTGAGCATAATTGAAGCAGGTGAGACTTGTCAGTATCAACAGTCGGGGATACGAGACGTGATTCTGAAAAAATCAAAAAGTTTTATGCAGCGTCCAATGGCAAATCAGCTAAATTGCGGAAAATTATGAAATGCGCGAATAATAAAGAACTGAACAACGTTCTTTACAAATGGTTTATTCGGAAAAGGAGTGAAGAAGTGTCATTATCCCTGATAATGATCCAACAAAAAGCTCTGAATTTCAATTGTAAACTCGGAGGAAGCAAGGAATTCCAAGCTAGCAGTGGTTGGCTAGAAAAGTTCAAGAATCGCCATGGAATTCCCCAGCTGAGCATCGTAGGAGAAAAACTATCGTCTGATATTGAAGCAGGAAACAGTTTTATTGCCGAATTGCAGGACTTGATTGTGAAGAAACAATTATGTGCAGACCAAATATACAACTGCCATGAAACTGGGCTATATTGGAGAGCACTTCCAACAAAAACCTTGGCTGAGAAAATGAAGCTATTGCTCCAGGCCGGAAAAAGATGAAGGATCGTGTGACGATTCTGGGATGTGCCAAAGCTTCTGGCTCACATCGTGTAAAGCTGACTTTGGTGGGAAAGAGTAAAAAGCCACGCTGTTTTAAGAACATCAATAAGACTGCTCTTCATGTTCACTACATGCATCAAGAAAGCGCTTGGATGAATTCTAGTTTATTTCTAGAGTGGTTTCATGATTGCTTCGTTCCAGAAGTGAAGAAAAACTTAAAGAAACTAGAACTCAAAAAAGCGATTTTATTGATGGATAATGCTACTGCCCACCCAGATGTTGAAACACTCAAAGCCGAAAACATCACTTGCATATTCATGCCATCGCACACAACCACCATTTTGCAGCCGATGGACCAGGACGTGATCGAATCTATGAAACGGCGTTATAGAAAGCAGCTCCCAAGCAAATTGCCTTTTGAAGGGGATGACGATGAGGAGGAGGCTGCATGTCCCATTGTTCAATTTTCGAAAGCATTAACGCTGAAAGACTGTGTCAACATGATTAACGAAGGTTGGGAGTCTGTGCCAGAGCATGCCTTAAAACGGTTCTGGCGAAAGCTGGCACCGTATCTCGAAAATTTAGACCAATCAAATGACAGTGACTCTGTCACCATTAGGGATTGCAATCCGGCACCAATTTCAATCCTGTAGGATCCGGCCGAATTCCCATCGATCCGACCGGATCCGGCCGGATTGGTCACATCAAAACTATTTTGCCTTTTCATTCCAAAATCAGCTGTATAAAAGATGATAAAGTGAGTGTATTACAAAGTTTATGAAAAAACGTTAATTTCTTATGAAATCAACTTTATTTACACTGTTATAATTTATCAACATTTACGTATGAATCAACAATAAAAATTTAGTACAGTGTAGCCAGTTAAATTGTAATTGTTATATTAGTTTAGTAATAATTAGATAATGATGGGCGGTTAATTTCAGTCTCACTTACTATTTCAGTCTCACTTACTAGATTTCACAAAGGACATCAATGATAACTTGTAATGTAACTTATATTATGTAAGTAGCTTATATTAAATCTAACTAAATCAAGCTTATCAACTGAGATCACAATAACTAGGTATTTTAGACACGCCAATCAGTCTCATTCTTATAATTATGACAGTCATCATGAATCTGTTTAATCAATGGCACAATTATCACAATAACGAGTTTAAAACTTCTTCGTATTTTTAATATACTTACTTTAAATTATTATTTTAAGTAAAACAATTTTAAAAAATTCACTTCGGTTTTGAAAAAATTATAGTAGGAAATAAATAGTGTTAATTGTGTCATCTGCCAATCGACTTCTTACAGAGCTACAAATATAACCAGCGGCCTAGAAAGCCCTTTCTGTTCTACACTTGTTGGTTTTATTGTCAACAAATACTCATGAATAGAAGACAAGTATTTTCCTCGAACTCCTTCACTTTCACATGCAGTCAGTTTCCTTTCTTAATGTTTTCTCATAATCTTTCTCTTTTTTTTTTTTGGTATTTATGCTCTAGGTTTTCATATCTTGCTGGATTTGCATCTGTAATGTCAAATCATTTTTCAATGACGATGAATCTAAGTTATTTTCTACTATATTATCTACGTTTTCTTTAAAGCTATCATCTTAAACAACTCTTTCTGAGATATTTTTCATTTCTAGTCTTACAACATTTTTTTCGGCATAGTAAATGTATCATCAATTCGTCTTGTATCATCATCATATTTTTTTATTCTGTAAGTATATTAATATTCCTGTTTTCATTTTGAATCGGTTTCAAAAGTGACATGTTTGTTTTAGAACTTTTAGACTAGTACCTGCAATGCATACAAATAGGTACATACCTACAATTTAAAACGTTATTTCGGTCACTATGCAAGAAGAAAGTCGTATTATAAAGAAAAATCAGAAATATGGATTGTTACTCAATTCCTTTCTAAGTCTAATTATCTACTTAAATCATTCTGGTACTCGTAAATGCAACATGAACATAATTCATCTATCAATTGAACAATAACAATTTCTATATGAGTAGCGGATGAGTCAGCATCGAACGACTCTTACACACCACGTATTTAAGTATCTACTCTTGCATCAACGCGAGTATTTTTTCAAGAAATCGGCTTCATGTATTTTTTTTAAAATTTACCCGATCCGGTAGACATCTAATGATGCCGGATCCGCCGGAATACCGGATCCGGTTTTCCGGATTGCAATCCCTAGTCACCATGACTGAATTAAACGTTCTTTTGAAACAAATTCCTGGCTATGGAAATTACGAAGAGGCTGTCGTGATTAGATTGTGATACTGATGATGCAGGATTTAAACTGATGAGTGATGACGAAATCATCGCCCAAGTATGAAAACCCGATAGCGATGGCGTAACAGCGAAAGAGATGAAAATGAGGTGATCGAAACTTCTAAAATAAGCGACTCCGATGAATGTTTTGATAAAGGACTAATGTGATTAAACCATCAGACTGACTCTGATTCTACAGAACTTATGCTACTGAAACAAATTTGGGACACAGCTGCTAAACGACGTCAGTCATGCTTACGGCAAAACAAAATTCCGATTAAGCCAATGTAAAAAATGTATCGTATGTCATATAAACTATTACATTGCATTTTCTGACTTATGTGACATCTATTGAACAAATTTATTATTAATAATTATAGTATTATAATTAAAACATCACATTTAGATATTTTGAATATGTGCAAATGTTTAAATTCCAGTGTTAAAATTTTAAAAAAGTCGATGACACCACTTTCAATTAGTTTGGCATAATTAGAAGTGACTATCCCAAAATTACAAATGACCTTGATGGAATACAACCCACGACCTCCGCGTTATTAGCACGACGCTCTATCCAACTGAGCTAAGTCTACGGCCCCACGAGGCGGTTCTTTGACGTTTTCTCGCGGCGGCCATTTCCCTCAGCGGCCGTATCCAAACCACGGTCGGCCACACGTGCGGTTTTTCTGACGCGAGCAAAGTCATTTGTTTGTGCTTTCTAGTGCAACAGAGTGGCGAATTCAAACAGTTGTTTGTGTGAAACTTTTGATACATTAGAAATGTATAAATAAAAGATTCATTCCATTTATCTCGTACTTGAAAACGAAGCAAAAGTGTTTATAATTTCATTAGAGTTTTGGTTGTTTTTTCCCCCTTCAACTAAAAAAAATTAAGATAAATGATAGATTCTTAGATATTTCTTTAAAGTAAGAAAGTAATCGAAAGATATCCTGCTTTAAATTGAACCATATTAATTCCTTTTACCACCGACGCAAATTTTTTCGAATTAAGATACAGAGTAATAAATGTGCCGTGTAGCTGTAAAGTGGCCATCTCCAAATAAGAAAAGTTTTAAGAAAAGTGGATTTTCTGTCACATCTAGTCAAAATGAGATTTGAAAAATAAACTGCATGGCATTCGACGCGTTTCGGCAATGTATTCTAATTACCAATTCATGATGGTGAGATGTTAAGAGGGTCAAATGGACATATAATCTTTGAAAAACGTATTTTTGAAAAGTGGAAATGGTTACTTTTGCAGCTACACGACAAAAATACCTTATTTTAGTTATGCTAACGTCTAGTTTTGAAGCTTCAGGAGTACTATTTTGTGGCGTACTTCGTTATTTTGAACCGCGATCAGTTGAAAAGAATAATGCAATCAATTTTTAAGAGAGTAATTATTAAAATTAGGTTGTAATTGGGAAAGGGTGTACAATTATTTTAAACAATTTTATCTAAAAATGAACAGAAAAATGTAAACATTTAACAAAAAAGCAATATAAAAGGACCAAAGAATGAGTTGAATAATGCGAAAATAAAATAAATGAAATTGCCAATATTTCAACTGAAATATTCACATCTGTGAAAAAAAAACTATAGAAGTTTAAGAATCATAAGCTTACTATCCAAGTAGTATTCCTTGATATATTTAATATATATATCAAAAAATGTAGAACAGAACAGGGCCAGATTAAGTACTGTATTAGCCCTTAGGCAAATCAATTTACGGGCCCTCCCCCTTGCATAACTACCAGAGAAAGATTTTTTTTATCGATTTTAATTTAATATCTATACAAGCAGGTTTTATATAAATATAGTTTTGAAAATTTTATAAGGCATTTAATTGCTGCTCAGCTTCAAGAAAGTTAGTTCCATTATCTCGCGTTTAAAAAAATTTCAATTTAAAAATCAATTTTTGAACAAAAAGGTAAAATAAGCAACAAAATTTGTTTTAGTACATTTCAAATACTCATATACGAAGTTTGACATTGGTGTTGATACTCATGAGTAAATCCGTCAACTGTAAGAAAAAAGATTGACCACACATACCTGTAAGAGAAATTTAAAACACGAAAAAATTGCTAAGAATAGTGTTTTGAAATTTAAATGGTACTTAATTTTAATTTAACTACGTTCGAGGTACATAGGGCCCTTGTAAACCAAATAAAATTACAAAAATTAAATAACCCTGAAAATGCCGGAAAACATTTCGATGCCTGAGGCCCCCGAAAGTTGCAGGGCCCCTAGACAGTTACCTACTTGATAATCCGACACTGGAACACATGAAAATGCCAACGGAAACCACCAAAAGCAGCAAGAGGATTTATTTCCCGCGCCTAATTAATAGACCCGAGAGCATCGTTTTGCTTCAGCTGCGAGAATGCACCCAGAGAAAGGGAGGAAACGGATCGAAGGTCACGCGTGTAGCCACCCCTGCTTCTTCAACATATAGTCTATAATTTTTGCGCGGTTGAAATTCCAGTAGCGACTGCTCGAAAACACTCGTGTGGCCGTATACTAATGGGCCTCGATGCGGCCGCTGCAAATTCCGTGCAACTTCTTGAGGTAAAATACACAAAATAAAGAGAGATCTTCTTTCCCCTATTCAGCATGAATCTCTATTGCGCGGCGTGAAATGATCGATGAAGCCACTTCCCAAAAGATTGGCATAATTACATGTATTTATCCAAAAGTTATAAATGACCTTGGCCCGTGGGGAAGGAAACCATAATCTTCGCGTTATTAACACGACGCTCTAAACAATTGAGCTAATGGGCCTCGATGTCGCCGCTTCATATTCCGTGAAACGTTTTCCGGTGAAATACACGTACAAAAGAAATCTTCTTTTAACGATTTTATATGAATCTCCATTGAGCGGCGTACATTCGATGAAGCCAGTTCCAAATAGTTTGGCAAAATTATATGTAATTATTCCAAAATTAGAAACGAACCTGGCCCATGGGGGGATCGACCCCACGACCTTCGCGTTATTAGCACGACGCTCTAACCAACTGAGCTTATGGGCCTAGATTTGGCCGCTTCAAATTCCGTGAAGCTCTTTCCGGTGAAATACAAGTACAAAGAGATCTTTTCACTATTTTATATGAATCTCTAATGAGCGGCGTGAAACTGTAGATGAAGTCACTTCCAAATAGTTTGGCATAAATAGATGTCATTATTCCAAAATCATAAATTTACTTGGCCCATGGGGGACCGAACCAGGACCTTTGCGTTATTACAAAGACGCTCTAACCAACTGAGTTAATGGGCCTCGATGTGGCCGCTTCAAATTCCGTACAACATATTGCGGTATTATACACATTATAATTGGGGATCTTTTTTCTCCTATTTTGCATGAATCTCTATTGAGCGTTATGAAATAGTCAATGAAGTCACTTTAAAATAGTATGGCCCAATTAGACGTCAGACCCAAAATCATAGTACATGGCTATGGGGGGGGATGTACCCACGACCTTCATTAGCAGGGCAAAAACTCCCAACCAACTGAGCTAATGGTCCTCGATGCTGGCGGTATTGAAATCCATTGAACTTTTACAGTGAAGTACAAAGAGATGTAATCCATTCACTATTTTTATTTGAATCTATATTGAGCGGCGTAGAGCTGTCATTAGTACTTCCAAATAGTTTGGCATAGTAGATGCCATTATTCAAGAGTATAAATGAATAGCCCCAGGATCGAGCCGACTTTCGCGTTATTAGCACGACGCTCTCACCAACTGAGCTATGGAGCTCGATGTAGCCGCTTCAAATTCCGTACAGCTTATATTTACGTTAATATACGCATTTACAAGCAGAGATATTCTTTTTTTCTATTTTGCCTGAAACTCTATTGAGCAGAACTGAGAACTTTCCTTGAAGCCACTTTAAAATGGTTTGGCATGAATTAGATGTCATTATCATCAAAAGTGACATTGGCCCTTGGGAGATCAGACCCACGATCTTCGAGTTACTAACAGAGACACTCTAACCAAAACTGAGCTAATGGGATTCCAGAGGGCCTTCAAATTCCGTGCAACGTATCGCGGTAATAAACTACAATCAGAATATTTTTTTTTCATTTTGCATGAATCTCTATTGGAGCGTTATGAAATAGTCGATGATCACTTTAAAATATTTCGGCTAATTAGACGTCATTCTTTGGAAATTATAAACGAGCCCTGGCCCTTGGGAGGGATCCAGACGACCTTCGCGTTCTTAGCACGACGCTCTAACCAGCAAATTGAAAATTGTGTCTCGATGCTTGGTGGCCAGAAATCAAAACTTTGCAGGAGAAATACACGTACAAAGAGATCTTTCATATTTTATTTAGTCTATACTGAGCGACGTGGAAACTGTCGGTAAAGAGCCACTTACAAATAGTTGAATAGATGCCATTATTAAAATTATAAATGAAACTGGCCCCATGGGTTGATCGAACCCACGACCTTCGCGTTATTAGCACGACGCTTTATGCTGAGCTAATGGGCCTCGTGTAGCCACTTCCATTCGTACAACATATTGCGTTAATATACGCATTACAAGCAGAGATATTCTTTTTTCTATTTTGCATGAAACTCTATTGAGCAGAGACAAACTTTCTCCTTGAAAGGAACTTTAAAATAGTTTGGCAAGTGTCATTATCCAAAATTATTTATGACCTTGGCCCATGGGAGATCAGACCCACGACCTTCGCGTTAATAGCACGACGCTCTAACCAACTGAGCTAATGGGCCTCGATGGGGCACTTCAAACCCATTACAACATATTTGGTATTATACAAATTATAATTAGAGATCTTTTTTCTCCTGTTTTGCATAGATATCAGGCGTTATGAAATAGTCAATGAATTCACTTTAAAATAGTAGCTAATTAGACGTCAGTAGCAAAATCATAAATTACCTTGGCCCATGGGGAATCGCACCCACGACCTTCGATATTTATTAGCAAGACGCTCTAACCAACTGACTAATGGGCTACATGTGCCGCTAAGATGTCAATGACAACGCTGAAAAATTACAATACAGAATATAGTCTTCTTTCTCTTTCAGCATGAATCTCTATTGACGCGTTACTGAAGATGTCGATGAAGTCCACTTCCCAATAGTGTGGCATATCTGGTCTGTATCAAATTATAAATGAACCTGTGGCCGTGGAAGGCAACCACGAATCTTCGCGTTATTACACGACGTCTAACACGGTGATAATAGGCTCGATGTGGCACCTTCATATTCCGTAAACGTTTCGGTAATATACGCATTACAAAAGAATATCTTTTTTTTCTAAGATTTTTGATATGAACTCAACATATGAGCAGCTCACTTCGAATGAAGCCGTTCCAAAAGTTGGCATAATTAAATGTAATTATCAAAATTAGCGAATGGCCCCATGGGATCGACCTCGACCTTCGCGTTTGACACGACGCTCTATCACCAACTGAGCTATAGGGACTAGATGTGGCCACTTCAAAATTCGTCAAACATGTCGCGGATAATATACAGCATTACAATCAGAGATATTTTTTTTCATTTTTGCAGAATCTCTAGCTTATGGACAGAAAATCCATGAAGTCCACTTTAAAATAGTTTGTCAAATTAGATGTCATTGCCAATAATAAAACTGAACCTTGGCTGTAACCAGGCGACCTTCGTGTTACTAGCACGACTTGCTCTCCAACTTCGGGTAATGGTCGCTCGATGTGGCGCTATTGCAAATTCGGTGAAACTTTTAAGGATGATACAACGATTAAAGAGATCTTTCACTATTTTATTAGATATCTGCTATGAGCGGCTGAAACTTGTGATGAAAGCCACTTCCCAAATGAGTTTGGTAATATAGATGCTCATTATTACAAAGGAAATTTAATACTGGCCCATGGGGGACCGCCAGGACTTCGCGTTATTACAAGACATCTAACCAACTAGAGCTAAAATAATGGGCCTCGATGCTTGCGCTTTCAAATTCCGTACAACGTATTGCGTAATATACGCATAAGGCAATTATGACTTTTTTTTCTCTATTTTAGCACTGAACTCTAGGAGCGATGGAGAGCTTCGTCGATAGTCACCTTAAAAGAAATAAGTTTGCATAGTTGATCATGTTATCCAAAATATAGTTGCCCTGGGCGGATCGAACCCAAGACCTTCGCGTTATAGCGACGCTCTAACCAGCTGGAGCTAATGGGCTTCGATGTGAGCGCACTTCATTCCGTACAACATATTTTGCGTTATCGCTATACAATTACTAAATTAGTATCTTTTTTCTCCTAGTTTTGCATGAACTCTATTGGAGACGTTAGAAAAGTTCTATGAAGCTCACTTTAAAATAGTTTAGGCATAATTAGATCTCATTAACCCAAAAAGTCATATAATTACCTTGGCCCATGGGGGATGACCCATGACCTTCGTGTTATTAATAGCAGACACTCTAACCAACTAGCTAATGGTCTCGATTAGCGGTATTGGAAATCAGTGAAACTTTTGAAGTGAAATACACGTACAAAGAGAGTATCATCTTTCACTATTTTTATTTGAATCTATATTGAGATGCGTGGAACTGTCTCATGAAGCCACTTCCAATGGTTTGGCATAATTATATGTCATTTCCAAAGATATAAAAGGAACCCTGACCCATGGGGGGATCAGCCCGCCTTCAGTTACAACGACTTTCTCAGCAGCTGGCTAATGGGATCCATGAGATGGCGCTTCAAATTCGATGTCAACATATTGCGTTAATATACCATTGTTACAATAGAGATATTCTTATTTTTCATTTTTTTGCTGATAACTCTTGGTAAGGCTGTAAGAACGATGGAATTTCTGACTCACTTTAAAATAGGTTTCGCCATATTAGATGTCACTTCATCCCAAAATTATATTATACCTTTGCAATGACGGGATTCGAACCCAGCGATTGCGCGTTCTTTGCACGACGCTCTACCAACTGAGTTAATTGTGCCTCCCGATGTCGCCGCTGTCGATGTAAACTGCTTTACGGTAATACAGTACAACAGAGATTCTTTTTTTTTATTTGCAGAATCTATATGAGGACGTGATGCGAATGGAACCACTTACAAATGGTTGGACATAGATTAAGTGCATTGTAAAAATTATATATGAACCTTGTCCCATGGGGGGATCGACCCTGACCTTCGCGTTATTAGCACGCGCGACTTAAAACTGATAATGGGCCTCGATGTAGGCCACTTCAAATTCCGTACAACATATGCGTTAATATAGCATTACAAGAAATATTCTTTTTTTTCTATTTTGCATAAAACTCTATTGTAGCTAGGCAGAAACTTTCCTTGAAGACACTTTAAAATGTTTGCATAATTAGATGTCATTGATACCAAAATTATTTAACGACGCCTTGGCACGTGAGGATCAACCACGACCTTCGCGTTATTAGGCACGACGCTCTAACCAAGCTGGTATAATGGGCCTCGATGGGCCGCTTCAAATTCCATACAACATATGCGGTATAAAATATAATTGAGATCTTTTTCTCCTATTTTGCATGAATCTCTATTGAGCGTTTAGAAATAGTCAATATGTCTTAAAATAGTATGGCCTAATTAAGACGTCCATTAACCCAAAATCATAAATTACCTTGGTACATGGGGAATCGCACCGACCTTCGTGTTATGTAGAGACGTCTAACCAACTGAGAATGTGGACTTCATGTAGCGTACTTCAAATCCTTGAAACTTTTACGTAGATAATACATCCGTACAAGAGATATCTCTTTCATATTTTTTGAATCTATATGAGCGGATGAAACGTCGATGAATTTGCCCTTCAAATAGTTTGGCATAATTAGATGTCATTACCAAGTAATTATATGACACCTGGCCCCATGGGATCAGGCCCCGACCTTCGGTTATTAGCACGACGCTCTAACAACTGAGCTAATAGAGCCTCGATGTGGGCTTTCAAAATGCAAATTACAACATATTGCGTTAACAACGAATTATAAAAGCAAGATCTTTTTTTCCTAGTTTTGCTACATCTCTATTGAGACGAAACTATAGTCCTAATGAGCACTTTAAAATATTTCTTCTAATTAGATGTCATTACCCAAAAATTATTTATGACCTTGAAACATGGGGGGGGATCGAACCCACGATCTTCGCGTTATTAACATTCCTCAACCAACTGAGCTAATGTAGGCCTCGGTAGGGCTGCTTCAAATTCACTTACAACATATTGCGTTAATATACGCGTACAAGCAGAGATATTCTTTTTTTTTTGCATGAAACTATTGAGCAGAACGACATTCCTTGAAGCCACTTTAAAATTGTTTCGCATAATTAGATGTCATTATCCAAAATTATTTATGACCTTGGAACATGGGATCGAATTTTGATCTTCGCGTTATTAACGACAGCTCTAACCAACTGAGCTAATGGGCCTCGATGGGGCAGCTTCAATTCCACCGTACAACATAGAGTGTTAATATACGCATTACAAGCAGAGATATTCTTTTTTTCTCCTATTTTGCATGGAATCTCTATTGAGCGTTATGAATATTAAAGTCACTTTAAAATAGTATGGCCTAATTAGACGTCGATGGCTTAAAATCATAAATTACCTTGGCCCGTAAAGTCGCACTCATGACCTTCGTGTTATTAACTTAGACGCTCCTAACCAGCTGAGCTAATGGGCCTGGATGGGGTCGCTTCATATTCCGTGAAGAGCGTTTTTTGCAAAATGCACGTACAAGAAATCTTTTTTTACCATTTTATAGCAGATCTCTATTAGGAGCGACGTGGAAACATTCTATGAAACCACTTCCAAACTCGGCATAATTATATGTCGATCGCCCAAATAATAAACGAACCTGGCCCATGGGATCAGTGACCTTCGCGTTATAGCACGACGCTCTAACCAACTGACTAATGGGCCTCGATGCTTGGCCCTTCAAATTCGACAACATATTTAAGTTAATATACGCATTACAAGCAGAATATTCTTTTTTTTTTCTATTTTGCATTACAACTCAATTGACGTTATGAAATAAGTCAGTAAGTCACTTTAAAAAAATGAGTATAGCTAGATAGACGTGAAGTAGCAAAATCATAAATTACCATGGCCTTGGGGAATCGCGCCCACATGACCTTCGTGTTATTAACCAAGACGCTCCCTACCAACTGAGCTAAGCGCAATTAGACAAAGCACCTTATTCCGTGAAACGTTTTTACGGAAATACACGTATAGAGAAATCTTTTTTTGCAATTTTATGAATCTCTATTGAGCGACGTGAAACATTCAGTACTTCCAAATGGTTTGGCATAATTATGTTCGCCCAAAATTATAAACAGACAGCCCACGGGGATCAGATCCCACGACCTTCGCGTTATTAGCACGCTCTCTAACCAACAGACTATTAAGACCTCGATGTAACTGGAAATTCATACAATATTGCGTTAATACCGCATTACAAGAAACCAGTGTCTTTTTTTCTATTTTGCATGAAACTCTATTGACAGAACGAAACTTTCCTTGACCGCACTAAAATGGACATAATTGATGTCATTATCAAAAATTATTTATGACCTTGGCCCATGGAGATCAGACCCACGACAACTAGCGTTATTAGCACGACCTCATAACTGAGCTAATGGGCCTCGATGGGGCCACTTCGTCGGCCACAACATATTGCGGTATTATACAAATGATGATTAGGATCTTTTTTTCTCTGTTTTCCATGAATCTCTATTGAGCGTTTAGCAAAATAGTCGGCACTTTAAAATAGTATGGCTAATTAGACGTCATTAACCCAAAATCATAAATTACACCTTGGCCCCATTGGGAATCGCACCCACGACCTTCGTGTTATTAGCAAGACGCTCTAATAACTAATGAGCTAATACCACAAATAACAGCAGCTTCAAATTCCGTGCAACGTGTCGCGGTAATATACATTACAATCAGAGATATTTTTTTTTCATTTTTACATGAATCTCTATTGAGCGTTGTAAGAGCAGTCGATAGAGTCGCACTTCCAAATGGTTTGGCAATTAGATGCCATTATTTAAGTATGAATGAACCTGGCCCTTGGGGGATCGAATACGACCTTCGTGTTATTAGCACGACAGCTCTAACCAACTGTGACTAATGGGCCTCGATGCTTGAAAAGCCAATTCAAGTACAACATATTGCGTTAATATACGCATTACAATGAGATATTCTTTTTTTTTCTATTTTGCATTACAACTCTATTATGAGCAGAACAAACTTCCTTGAAGCCACTTTAAAATGGTTTGGCATAATTAGATGTCATTGTCAAATTTATTCATGGTGGCCATGGGATCCCTTACGACCTTCGTGTTATTAACAGACGCTCTAACCAGCGAGCTAATAGGGTGCCAGTAGCGGTGACAAAATCCATTATTTTACGGTGAAATACACGTACAAAGAAAGTATCGTCTTTCTATTTTGTTGAATCTATGTGGTGGCGTGAAACTGTCGATGACCACTTCAAAATAGTTTGGCATAATTAGATGCCATTATTCCAAAATTATAAATGAACAGTAGGATCAGACCCACGACCTTCGAGTTACTAGCGAACGCTCTAACCCAACTGAGCTAATGGGATTCAAAATTGGCCACTTCCATTCCGTGCAACGTATCATGACAATATACACATTACAATCAGAGATATTTTTTCATTTGCATGAATCTATTGGAGCAGACAGGAAACTTTCCTTGACCACTTTAAAAATGGTTTGGCATAATTAGATGTCATTATCCAAAATTATTTGTTGGCCCATGGGATCAGGAACCGACCTTCGAGGTTACTAACAAGACGCTCTGTGACTAATATAGGTTCCAGAGGTGCTCCAGATTCCGTGCAACGTATCCCTTGGTAATAAACACATTATGATGTATTTTTTTTCATTTTGCATGAATCTCAGTGAGCACGTTATGAAACAGTCGATGAAGTCACTTTTAAAATATTTCGGCCTAATAGGTAAACTCATTCCCAAAATTATAAGCAGACCCACAGCCCAGCAGGAGGATCAGACCCACGACCTTCGCGTTCTTAGCACGCTCTAACTTCAACTGAGTTAATTGTCCTCGATGTAGCGGTATTGAAGTCATTTTTTTTACGGAGAAATACACGTACAAAGTGATCTTATTTTACTATTTGAATCTATACTGAGCGACGTGAACTGTCGATGAAGCCACTTACAAATAGTTTGTAATTAGTGCCATTATTAAAATTATAAATGAAACTGGCCCCATGGGATCGAACCCACGTATTCGCGTTATTAGCACGACGCTTTACAACCAACTGAGCTAATAGGCCTCGATGCCAGCCGCTTCAAATTCCGACGTACAACATAATGTGCGTTAATATACGCATTACAAGCGAGATATTCTTTTTTTTCTATTTTGTGAAAGTCTATTGAGCAGAACGGCACCTTGAAGGAACTTTAAAATAGTTTGGCATAATTAGATGTCATTATCAAAATTATTTATGACCTTGGCCCATGGGGGATCGAACCACGACGCCTTCGCGTTAATAGCGGCGCTCTAATGACTAATGGGCCTCGATGAGGCCTTCAAAATTCAGCTATTGCGGTATTACTACATTATAATTAGAGATCTTTTTTTTCTCTGTTTTTTTACGCCAGTCTCTATTGAGCGTTATGAAATAGTCAAGTAAGTCACTGGAAATAGCCTTGGCCCTAATTAGACGTCATTATTAAAATCATAAATTACCTTGGCCCGTGATCACTTGACCTTCGTGTTATTAGCGAACGCTCTAATAACTGAGCTAATGGGATACAATGTGGCCGCTGATTCCGTGCAACGGTAATATACATTACAATCAGGGCTCTTTTTCATTTTGCATGAATCTCTATTGAGCGTTGTAAGAACAGTCGATGAAGTCGCAAATAGTTTGGCATGATAGATGCCATTATTTAAAATTATAAATGAACCTGGCCCCATGGGGGATCAGGCCGACGCTACTTATTAGCGACGCTCAACCAGCTGGCTAATGGGCCTCATTCATAAGTCCGTACAACATATTGCGTTCAACCATACGCATTACAAGCAGAAATATTCTTTTTATCTATTTTTGCATGAAACTCTATTGGGCCAAGACAGAACTTTCCTTGAGGGTTTTAAAATAGTTTATGGCGTTAGATGTCAGTATCCAAAAGTATTTATGACCCTTGGCCCATGGGATCAGACCCACAGCGTTATTGGCACGACAACTCTAACCAACTGAGCTAATGGGCCTCGATGAGGGCCGCTTCAAATTCCGACACAACATATTGCGGTATTATACAAATTATAGTAGAGATCTTTTTTCTCTATGTTTTGCATGAATCTCTATTGACGTTATGGAAATAGTCAGTAAGTCACAAAATAGTATGGCCTAATTAGACGTCATTAACTTAAAATGCATAAATTACCTTGGCCTGGGGAATGCACCCGACCTTCGTGTTATTAGCAAGACGCTCTAACCAACTCAGCTAATGGGATACAAATAACAGCCACTTCAGATTATCCGTGTAACGTGCCGCGGTAATATACACATTTACAATCAATATTTTTTTCATTTTGCATGAATCTGGTGACGTTATGAAACAGTCGATGCAGTCACTTCCGATATTTGGCATAATTAGATGTCATTCAAGTATAAATGAGGCCAGCCCCATGGGGGGGATCTGCTCCCACGACAACCGATGTTATTAGCAAGACTTAACTCTAATAACTGAGCTAATATGACCTCGATGTTGCCACTTGAATTCCTTTACAACATATTACGTTAATACCGCATTACAGCAAGAGATATTCTTTTTTTTCTATTTTACATGCAACTCATTAGAGCAGAACCGACTTTCCTTGAAATACTAAAATAGTTTCGCAAATTGATGTCATTATCCAAAATTATTCTTGACGCCAGCCCATGGGAGGATCAGACACAGATCTTCGCGTTATTAGCACGACACTCTAAACCAACTGAAACCTATTGGGCCTCGATGCTTTAACCTCTTCAAATTCTTTACAACTATATTAGCCGCAGCTACAAGCAGAGATATTCTTTTTTTTTCTATTTGCATGAAACTCATTAGACAGAACCAGAAACTTTCCTTGAAGCCACTTTAAAATAGTTTCGTATAAATTAGATGTCATTACCCAAGTATTTATGACCTTGAAACAGCAGGATCAGACCCGCGATCAACGTTATTAGCGACGCTCTAACCAGCTGGAGCTAATGGGCCTCGATGAGGCTGCGCTGGAAATTCACTTACAACATATTGCGTTAATAACGCATTACAATGAGGTCTTTTTTTTTTTTGCATGAAACTATTGAGCAGAGACAAAATTTTACTTGACCACTTTAAAATAATTTGGAATAATTGAATTAATCATTATCAAATTGTGCCAGCCCATGGGATCAGACCCACGACCTTCGCGTTATTAGCACGGCACTCTAACCAACTGGGCTAATGGGCCTCGATGTGGCCGCTTCAAATTCCGTACAAACTTATATTGCGTTTAATATACGCATTCTTTACAAGCAGAGATATTCTTTTTTTTTCTATTTTGCGTACTCTATTGAGCGTTATGGAAAATGATTAGTAAGTCACTTTAAAATAGTATGGCCTAGTGGACGTCATTAACCCAAAATCCTTAAATTACCTTGGCCCATGGAATCTTGCTGACCTTCGATAGCCGTTGCTCTAACCAAGCTGAGCTAATGGGCCTGGATGCAACTTCATATTCCGTGAAACGTTTTGCACGGAAATACGTACAAAATCTTTTTTTACCATTTTATGAATCTCTATTGAGCGACGTGAAACATTCTATGAAGCCACTTCAAATGGTTTGGCATAATTATGTCATTCTTAAGAGTATAAAACGAACCTGGCCCACGGGATCAGACGACCTTCGCGTTAACAACGTGCTCTAACCAGCGAGCTATCGATGTGGCCGCTGATTCCATTAACCTATTGCGTTAATATACGTACAAACCAGAGGCCGTCTTTTTTTCTATTTTACGCTAAAACTCTATTGAGCAGAACAGAAGCTTTCCTTGAAGCCACTTTAAAATGAACGGCATAATTAGATGTCATTATCCAAGTATTTATGACCTTATTACATGGGGGATCAGACGACCTTCGCGTTATTAGCACGATGCTCATCAACTAGGCCCAATGGGCCTCGACGGGAAGCGGCTTCATTCATTAACATATTGCGTTAATATACGCATTACAATGAGATCAGTATTTTTTTGCATGGAAA